AAAGAGATGGTTTGCAAGAAAGGGACTGAGTTACTTGGCATTAAATTCACAGATTTTCTGGATAAACATTTAAACTGAACAATAGAGACAGAGAATTAATTGATACAGAACATTTCTGTCCCCAGCAATCTAAAACTCATAGAGTTATCAGTGCATGTAACATAGATGTTTGTGCGGGTAAGATTATCACTCCTGCTGTCAAGCAAAACCAAGCATTTAATAGTCAATGCCCTCATTTACTTGAATTTCTAATTCACCCTGTTTGTTCCTCATACTCTGTGCATTGGTGTATGGACATTTGAGTCAATTTTGATTGACACTGTGTTTACTGTCTACATAATCTTTGTTATGCCTGACTGCCCCTATTTTCTTGCCACTTGCATGATTCATGCACATGGTATGGCATTGACTATTAAATGCTTGGTTTTGCTTGACAGCAGGAGTGATAATCTTACCGCACAAACATCTGTGTTACATGCACTGATAACTCTATGAGTTTTAGATTGCTAGGGATTGCTTGTCAGAATAATTGCATAAATAAATTTCAGAACAATTGGATCAAATATCTGAGAACACAACTGTCCTCTCCGCCATTTATGTTTTCCTTCTAATAGAGAGATCCTTCTTGTCCAATGAGGCTGTTTTGCAAATGTTGGAGTCTGTCCAAATGGGAAATAGTCATTAGTGAAAAGTCAGTTGCATAGCACAATCTTGGAAAACATCCATGATTTTCAGGTATGAGGTTTGGTCAATCACATAATAAACTTGCAGTAGTTTGCATAGAATATTTCATAGGGGAAACTCAGTATTATATAAAATAAGCAGAGCCCAACTGTAGCTGGCAGGTTTTGAAAGGTTTCATGCTGAAATCATCCAAAATGGATTTAGTTGAAGATACCATCTTGCTTACCTAATCTCTCTCATTTTTTTAGATCAACAAAGCAACAGTTGTCCAAGCAAAAACAGTGAGTTCATCTATTTAAAATAATAGTTTTTATCTCACAATTTCTAAGCACAAATGTACTATGTAAATGATTAATGATTGTATTAATCAAATAGTTGCCACCTCTTTCAATATTTGTGTGTGACATTCAGTTCAGATGTTCATTGGGATTTCATGATTCTGTTTTTCCTTCAGTGTATGATGGATTCCTATTTTATATGAAGTGCCACTATAGTCTATGCTTTGCAAAATGCAAAGAGGACAGTTAGTTAAATAGGAAAGAGGGTAGTTTTTAATTTGTTTTACTTGTATAGTCCTATATTTATATTTTGGGTGCATTGTGTTCAGCAAACTTGGCTACTTCAGAATCAGATTGTATTTTATTTGAGCATTGTTATCTTATGTATTCATATATGCTAGAAGTAAAATACATGTTTGACCAACACCTCAATAACCCTGGGCTGAAAATATAGTCTCCCTCTCCTCCATTTGGGAGCACATCACTTGTCACTTGAGTGATGAGCAACATTTATTGGAGGTTGCATTGGGCCTGGGGAAATAGCTAATTATAGAGTTGTATTTTCTATAATTCTATAGATAAAAAGAGAATATTTTATCCTTCCCCAGAAATTAACAGTATTTATATAAAGAGAAAAAGAGTAGGGAATATATACGTATTAACTGACAGGAGATATATTTGTTTGTTTTGCTTTGTCTTTCCTTCATGAAAAATTCATAAGCTACTTCCTTGCTATTACTGTTGTGGCTCTTTAACTTTTCCACATTATTTTGAATCCAAAAATTAATAGCCTGGAATGTATATAATATTATCCTCTGTTTAACAAATTATATTTCATTTTATTTACTCCTGCTAGAAGAATTTAGGACTCCATAGCTAGTATTTCCCATTTAGTATTTTAACAGTTACAATCAAGTGGATTGCTAGTAAACAGCTATCCCAGAGAAACTCAGAAGTTTGTAAAGATTTCAGTCTTGGTCTCAGTTTCGGACTAATCCTCTTATAAGAAAATCACATCAATTCAATAGTAAAAATACTGAAAATAAATCACATATTTCCACAGTCTAGTTTGGAACATTTTGAATGATTTTAATCATAGTCTTCAGTATTTCTTTATCACATCCTTTACACTTGAGTTTCTGTATTCTTTGCATTCACCCTTCTTTTAATATACAACTGCAGGCATTATCGGAAGCGCTCCTCATCACGAGGGCGCTCTGGTAGCCGTTCACGCAGTCGTTCACCATCTGACAAAAGAGCAAAACGTGGAGATGACAGGCGTTCTAGGAGTAGAGACAGAGACCGCAGGCGTGAGAGATCGCGGAGCAGGGACAAGAGAAGGTCTCGATCACGTGACAGAAAACGGGTGAGGTAAGTTGCAGTCTTTAATAGACTCCTGCAAGAAAAAAATCTTAGTAAAAGCTGAACATTTTTCTAAACAAATTGACGATATGGAGAAGGAATATTCTTTTGTCACTGTAAAAATTGGTTCTTAATTTATTAGAATTCGTTGTTCCTTTATTGCAGGGGTGTCAAACTTGCATCATCACATTGTTGTCACATAGCATAGTGTGACTTTTTTCCCCTTTGCTAAAATGGGAGTGGGCATGGCCAGCACGTGAGACATCTGGCTCGCGTGCCATGAGTTTGACACTCCTGCTTTATTGGAATTCATTGCTCTTTTATTTTCTGAAATGAGTATTTTCTACTGACTCTTGGGGAGTGATGTTTTATGAAATAGAAAAATATATTTTACTTAAGATTGTACCTCAAATCTGCTTTGTACAGGCGCTCAAGAAGTAGAGAGAGGGAAAGGAGTAGAGAGAGAAGACGATCACGCAGCCGAGAGAGAAGACGATCTAGAAGCCGGAGCAGAGGCAGACGGTCTCGATCTTCCAGCCCTGGCAAGAGCAAGAAAGTAGAAAACAGGTAATTGAGTGTATGCATTTTTTTTCTAACTCTAATAATATAGCTGCTATTTTGATCATATTCCAGTTATGTAGGTATGAAATTCTATTGTGGAATGCTGTTTCTATATTGTATTTTAATATGCCAAAAATTTATTTTTGCTACATCCGGTTCACTATATGAGACTATCCTTTTCATACACCTAGTTTTAATGCTTATTGTGAGTACAGTAATACAAATCAGTGTTTCTCAATCTTTTTTGCCTGTGGCCCCCTTCCAACCTTGATTTTCTCCCGTGGATCCTCTGTCCATGTCCCATTATCATGAAGAAGATCAGGACTTGCACACTTGGTTTGTACAGAATATATGTTTTCATTTATAATAATTTTAGTAACTCAACACACTCCCTTGTCAGTTGTTTACTGAGGGCTTCCACCATCTACCAAATGAATCGGCTGACAATGATGCCCAATTCCATGTCTCAGATATAGACACAGGACAGTAACTGGTGTGTTTTCACTGTCAACAAGACAGCATTTACTTGGCTTTTTTGTGGCCCATGCTGTGCCTTCCCTTACATATTTTTCTCCTGAGGTTCCCTTGTAATATCCTGGTGTCTCCAGGAGTTACCTGGTGAAAACCACTGATATAATTGAATAGACTAGAAAAAAATCATAATCTTACTCATGTACTGCAGTCTGGAGCTTGCTCTGCAATATTATCTGATCTTTGGAATGACTTTATGAAAAGGAACTGAACAAACTAATCTATGTACTGTTGTTAGATTTCTTGCTTACACTAATCACATATTTGATGGTAAATCCCACTAAACTCAGTGAAACTTGGTGGGGGGGCTATAAGTATACATAAAGCTGTTTCTTTGCAGGTTTTGATGCATTTTAATTCTTTAAAATCAGCGGACCTAAGTGTGGCTAACTCTGCACTGGATAGAATGGTCATCTTTTTTGTTCCGAAGAGCTGAATTTTGCCTTCAAGAATTTTATTTTATCATCTACTCAAAAAAGAGAGATAGAAATTTCCCTTCGTTTTCATTTTTTTTGCATTTTTTTNCTAAAAGTATGTATATGATGAAATAATAAGCTGCTTTGTGTGTTTACTTTTCAATAATTTGACTTCTCTGTAAAAATCTGACATTGTTGTAATTGTTGCATTGATTCTGTTAAATGCATTGAAGCTATGTTACAATTATTTATGCTTTGGCATTACTTGAATATACATTAAAATGTCTGCAACGATCAGGTTTTGTTAACTTTCCTTATTTCTGAATTACTAGTTTAGCATACAACATTCTGGTTCCAAGAGGATTAAGGAAATAAATCAAACCTTTATAGCTGAACTTAACAGTGTCCTACGTACTATTTGCTGGATAGAACACTTCCTGGATCTATAAAACAAAACAAAATGTTCAGAAAGTCAGGTTATTTCTACATTTCTTTGGTAATAACTTGTTATATAAGAACAGCTTTATCCTTTATCCTCCATATGATCCATAAGAATTCATTCCTCAAAACCGCTATCTTTGACTTGATGATCTCTTAATGTGAATACCATAAAGATTCTTGAGAATATGATACAGCTATTGCCATGAAAATGTCAAATTTCCAGAACTGACTATAATGGAAGAGTAAAGATAGTCTAGGATTTCAGGTAAAACACATGCAATTAGTTTTTTTTTTAGAAAATTAGTTCCTTTGATTTTGTGCCACTAATACCAAATTTTACCAACTCTGATTTTCCCTGTCTATTGAGAAAGAGAAGATAACACCGCTTGGTGGTCTTTCTGGAAAGTTGCACATAATGTCCAGGACGATTTGTGTGCTGAGTTCAAGTTTTTTGTACTATATTGGTAAAAATCCTTAGAGCTATGATTCTAGTAATTGGTTATTTGCAAAGAGTTCTGATTTGTCTATCTACGTTGATTTCATCTGGGTTAGATGTAAAATCATGTGAAGCCATGCATCAGATCCACATGTTGGCACCACTGGGATAACTACTCAAATAAGATACAATCAGATTAGAATCATTGCATGATTACACTCATACAATAACAATGAATCGAATTACAAAACATTGTAAGTAAAAGAACTATGATTTGTGTTTCAGATACATACAAAAATAATAACACATGAAGGCAACCTGATCTCAAATCCTTGGTTTTGCACCATGTATGAACTTAAACTGTTTGCAGTGGTTCACCCAGTTCAAACAAATGTGTTCTGTGAATTGATCCAGATTAGAATCCCATCAAAAGTTAAGTGAAGTCGAGGACATTTCTTTTGTATTGTTGCAGGGCCCCAAGTTGCCCAACAGTAATTTGGTAATTTTTTTATGCTTGGGCACACATGGATCGTGATTTGACCTTGATTTTTTTTTATGGGACTAAGAAAAGTTTTTTCTGATCCATTTTTTAAGCCGCAGTGGAATCAAAACAGGACAGAGAAAAATTGTTGGGATGTACGCCACACAGAGAATTGTAATCAGAGATGGTGATTCCAGGCATATCCCTCAAAAATATGAAATCGAGGATCCACATTTCATGCCAAGGATCAGAAGTCGTAGGCGTTTCCATTGTACAACAAATGAACAGTTGTCTATGGGGATTCTCAGTCATCCAGATCGTGGTCGCCCCAAAGTTGCCTTTTCAAGATGGCAATTGGACTTTCTGGTTTTTCCTTTCCTTTTTCCTCAAGAAAAAAAAGCAGGAAGTCCAGTTGCCTCTTGAAAAAGCACCCTTTGGGTGTGACCAGTTGGCAGCAGACTACGAATAAATATTAAAGCACAGGTATGCTCAGTTCTCTCCTCATGATGGGCTTAACAACACCGGGTACCGTAGTTTGCCTGCGAGTTAGTCACTGTACACCAAGCGCTCCTAGGACAAAGTTACCACCCGCTTAAAATTCAGGCGGGATACGCAGTTGCCCCGGAGAGCGCCTGCTGGTCGCTCCGCCGGGCAGAAGAGGCTGCTGTGGGCCGGCTGTAGGACATCATCCGGGCCCTCTTCTTCGCCTTCTTCCCCTTTCGGCGTCGGTGATGCATTTCCGCTTCGCTTGCTTCTGGGAAAATGATTGCGGGCGCCGCTTGGCTTTGAGGAGCCGAGGCGGAAGAGAAAGCCGTCCTCCTTCGCTGCTCCGGGGGTGGCTGCCATGGGTCGGGAATCGAGGTAAAGGGCGACGAAGGGGCGGCGGATTTCAGAAGCTTGGCTTGTCGCGTTACTGCGGGCTTTGCCGGCTTGGCCTTCTCTCCGCAACTGGGGCCGAAGGGAGGGGATCGCAGGCCGCATAGGAAGGAGGCCGGGGCAGTCCAGGAGAAGGCCGAGAAGTCGGCCTCGTTGGCGTGGTCGCCCGATTGAAGATTGGACAGTCTATATAACGCAGCCAGTTTAAATTCCGGAACTTCAAGATAGGAAGAAGCCTTCATCACGAGGCGATTTGCAACATGGAGGATAAGGGCGGTCCGTGTTGCCTTTAGGTTTAAGCCTCTGGCTTCTCTCTGGGTAGCCTCTGGCCGCCTTTTCCTCATGGGGCCACGTTCTTTCTCGTCGTTAAAGCCCAATTAGGTCGTCGGTCTATTGGGACGAATCTGTGGTCACGTTTCCCCCAGCTTCCTCGTATTTGATGCCCCTTATAGTTGTGATTTGGGCGTCAAACATTATCGCAGATTTTATTTAATTTGGTTGCTTCCTTACTGGCGGTGGCTTTCCACTGTAATCCTTGTCTGCTATGCACATTTATTCGTCTCCTAGGCGAGTTAGGATGGCATGTAAAACGAGTTAGAGTGATAATATTAAGAGAACAATACATAAGAGCCAAGTTCAGGAAAAGATTGTCAGATTGCTCCTTGTGAAAGATGCTACTGCATTATTATAATCAAAAATAAATAAATAAATCCATTATTGCAACATCTTGATCCACCAAGACTTCTCACATCCTTGTGCTAACATTATTCTGGCATTATTGCAATGCACTTTATATACATTTGGATGGATGGATATTAGTTCCGCTTCTCCTTAGATTTTTTTTATTTTCCTGTACAATGAAGTATAATAAGGCTTAAAAATGTTGCATGTGGGTTTTGTGTGTGTGTGTGTGTGTGTGATTCATAGCTGCTTAATACAATAGCAGAGTTGGAAGGGACCTTGGACGTCTTCTAGTCCAACCCCCTGCCTAGGCAGGAAGCCCTATATCATTTCAGACAA